AGCAGCTGGAAGGCGTCCACGGGGGTGCCTGGGGGGGAGGGGGTTAAATATTAATATTTTTTATATTATATTTTGTATTTAGGCGTCCACGGGGGTGCCTGGGGGGAGGGGGGTTAATTATTACTATTTTATTATATTATATTTTGTATTTAGTTTATATTTTGTTTATTTTATTTATTTTATTTTATATTTAGGCATCCACGGGGGTGCCTGGGGGAGAGGGTTAATAATTACTATTTCTTTACTATGTTAATTATATTTTGGTGTTGATTATATATTTTGGTTTTTATTACATATTTTGATGTTTATTATGTTTTGTTATTTCTTATATTTTGGTGTTCATTACAATTTTGTATCAATTTTTGAACCCTTCCCGAAGTTCCCCAGCAAGAAGTGAGGTTATGATTCCCAAAGTGGTCTCACCATTAGAACACATGGCCTCACCATAAGGACATGTCGCCTCACCATAAGGACACGTGGCCTCACCATAAAGGAATGTGGGCCCCACGTGGCCTCACCATAAGGGAAGGTAGGCCCCACGTGGCCTCACCAGAAGGGAAGGTAGGCCCCACGTGGCCTCACCATAAGGGAAGGTAGGCCCCACGTGGCCTCACCATAAGGGAATGTAGGCCCCATGTGGCCTCACCATAAGGGAAGGTAGGCCCCACGTGGCCTCACCATAAGGGAAGGTAGGCCCCACGTGGCCTCACCATAAGGGAAGGTAGGCCCCACGTGGCCTCACCATAAGGGAAGGTAGGCCCCACGTGGCCTCACCATAAGGGAAGGTAGGCCCCACGTGGCCTCACCATAAGGGAAGGTAGGCCCCACGATGTCCCCGGAGATGGCGAGGTGCCCCTGAGGAGATCATAAGGTTACGTGGCCTCACCACAAGGACATGTAGCCTCACGTGGCCCCACCATAAGTACATGTGGCCCCACGTAGCCTTACCATAAGGGAAGGTAGGCCCCACGATGTCCCCGGAGATAGCGAGGTGCCCCTGGGGAGACCATAAGGACACGTAGCCTCACCATAAAGGCACGTGGCCTCACGTGGCCTCACCATAAGGGAAGGTAGGCCCCACGATGTCCCCGGAGATGGCGAGGTGCCCCTGAGGAGACCATAAGGTTACGTGGCCTCACCACAAGGACATGTAGCCTCACGTGGCCCCACCATAAGTACATGTGGCCCCACGTAGCCTTACCATAAGGGAAGGTAGGCCCCACGATGTCCCCGGAGATAGCGAGGTGCCCCTGGGGAGACCATAAGGACACGTAGCCTCACCATAAAGGCACGTGGCCTCACGTGGCCTCACCATAAGGGAAGGTAGGCCCCACGATGTCCCCGGAGATGGCGAGGTGCCCCTGGGGNTACGGTAGATATGAGGTAGGATACGGTAGATATGAGGTAGGATACGGTAGATATGAGGTAGGATACGGTAGATATGAGGTAGGATACGGTAGATATGAGGTAGGATACGGTAGATATGAGGTAGGATACGGTAGATATGAGGTAGGATACGGTAGATATGAGGTAGGATACGGTAGATATGAGGTAGGATACGGTAGATATGAGGTAGGATACGGTAGATATGAGGTAGGATACGGTAGATATGAGGTAGGATACGGTAGATATGAGGTAGGATACGGTAGATATGAGGTAGGATACGGTAGATATGAGGTAGGATACGGTAGATATGAGGTAGGATACGGTAGATATGAGGTAGGATACGGTAGATATGAGGTAGGATACGGTAGATATGAGGTAGGATACGGTAGATATGAGGTAGGATACGGTAGATATGAGGTAGGATACGGTAGATATGAGGTAGGATACGGTAGATATGAGGTAGGATACGGTAGATATGAGGTAGGATACGGTAGATATGAGGTAGGATACATATGAGGGGAGGTAGGCTACGTTAGATAAGAGGTAGGATATGTTGAATATGAGGTACAAGTGACCCACCATAATCATGACCCACCATCACCATAACCCACTTTCACCATGACCCACTTTTACCATGACCCATTTTCGTCATAACCCACTTTCACCATGACCCACTTTCGCCATGACCCACTTTAACCATAACCCACTTTCACCATGACCCACTAGCATCACCATCATTATGACCCACTTTTACCATGACCCACTTTCACCATAACCCACTTCCATTATGACCCACTTTCACCATAACCCACCTCTATAGTGAGCGTGGCGCTCTCACTGTCCCTCCCCACTTGCGTGACGGCAGACACCTCGACCTCCACATCCCCCTGGTCCACCAGGGCCACGATGGGGAAGATGACCTCCACGGAGCTCTCCCCATCCACGGACAGGAGGTGCTGGTGGTCCCCACGGGTGACGCGGGGACGGAAGAAGTCCACTTCCCCATCAGCCTCGACCTCCACGAACCCGTAGTCCTCCGACCCGTGCAGGATCAGCAGGATCATAAATTCCCGCGGTACCGTGTTGAATACCATGACCCTGACCCCCACCTGTGGGGGGTGAGGGGGGGTTAATGGAGGGTGAGAAGGGTCATAAACTCCCGGGGCACCGTGTTGAATACCATGACCCTGACCCCCACCTGTAGGGGGTGAGGGGGGGTTAATGGTGGATCATGAGGGTCATAAACTCCCGGGGCACCGTGTTGAATACCATGACCCTGACCCCCACCTGTGGGGGGTGAGGGGGGGTTAATGGAGGGTGAGAAGGGTCATAATCTCGCGCGGCACCAGGGGTTAATGGGGGGTGAGGGGGGTTAATTTAGCATCCCCACGAGGGGGGCTTGTTTCAGTACAAACTTTTATCACAACAACTTGAATGAATGTAAGTCTAATTTTTTCACAGTTTAAAAAACTTAAGGTTGATGAAGATTCAAATATTTGAAATTTAAAATATAAAGAAAAACATAAATAACGAAAATAGGTTGTATTCAAAATTTCTGGTTAGTTAATAGTTACATAATTCTACCTATGAGCTAACTTACAGAAAGAATTATTTCAGGATACAAAGGATTTTGAATATCCTACAGAAAAATAAAGTGAAAAACCGCAATAACTGGAACCTGTACAAGGGGGAAGGGTAAGGATAAAATATATTTGCAACTATTTTTAGTACCATCCAAATAATAATAAACATACATAATAAAAAACAACATAATAATAAATACCTATAATAAATTTATTGAATAATATAAAATAAATATATTATTTTTATTATTATTTATTACTAGTATTATTTAAAAAAAATTATATTATATATACATAGAATCTATAACAAAGGCCGACCTGTTCGCCGCGGCGACAGGTATGAGGCATCTCGAGCGTGATGTATATGGGCGGCAGCGACATGAACTCGAAGGCCTTGGGGATGAGCCCGAACCCGTGCTCGGGGCTGATGCTGAAGGCGTTCACGATGTAGGGGTCATTCACTTTGTTGAGCTCGATGGTGGTCATCTCGTGCCCTTTGTACCCGATGTTGAAGTCCAACCAGTTCCAGTCCCCATCTTCGGGGTCAAAGAGGTCAGCGAACCACAGAAACTGGTGCACGCGGAACTCGACTTCCGAAAAGTCTTCGGTCTGTGCACCGCAGTCCGACTCGTCAAAGCCGTCCGCACAATACCTGAACACAAGGATTTATTGTAAATAAATTAATTAATATATATTTTTCATTATAATTAAAGAGATAGAAGAACCACAGGAACTGGTGCACACGGAACTCAACTTCCGAGAAGTCTTCAGTCTGAGCACCGCAGTCTGACTCGTCAAAACCATCCGCACAATACCTGAATGAAAGATATTATAATAAATAAATAAATAAATAAATTAACTGAAATTTTCTTATAATTAATCAGATAAGGTAACAAGAAAATGTGGTGGAGTCGGAATTTGACTTCCGAGAAATCTTCGGTCTGCGCAATGCAATCAGATTCATCGAAGCCATTCACACAATACCTGAACACATGGATTTATAATAACAAAAAAATAATTGAGCCTGACAAGAGGAATTTAAAATAAATAATTAAAGTAATTGATATTTTTTGTTATAATTTAGCAGGTAAGCAAACCACAAAATTTGGTAGACTCGGAACTCAACCTTTGGAAAATTCTGAAAGTTCAGCAAAATTTAAAAGAGTTCTGCAGATTGTAAATAAACAATTAGCAAAAACGTATAGTGAATAAATAAAATTAAATAAATATTATATTGAATATTGAATAAATAAATATACAATTTCTCTAAAATCAGAGAAAAACAGACAAAATCTAGCTAATTTTTCATAGAATAAAACATTTCTGAGTTCAGTTCCATCGTCAGAGTAGGACAATCTTACCCAACAAGTACAATCGCTGAAAGATTGTCAATCAAAATTAAAACCTGAATTGGAAGAATGAAGGAAGAATAACTTTTTCTGAAAGCACCAGCAGACGTAGGACTATCTACATACAATTTCAACAAGACAAGAAATTAAAATTTTAACAAGGCTTTAAGACTTTTCTCCACCTCTTAAATTCCTGAAAATTTATCAATTCGAACAATCATGTCATCTTCCTACACTGTTAGAAAAAAACGGTGGAAAAACGGTCCCACCGGCGTTCTAGTGGCCGGTCGCCCCGTGAAAATAAACTGTTTCGCCGTTTTTATCAGATGTTTTACGGATTTCTAGTGTTAAATTAGAATAAAAACGGCGACACGGTGTTTCTTTTCACGTGCCGACCGGCCACTGAAACGTCGGTAATACCGTTAACGGTAAGTTTTCTAACAGTGTACCCTACATTTGACGTTGAATCAACGTTTTTATTTCAATTAAACGTTTTCATTGCATCAGCCTCATGCTGTTATACGTTGTTCCGTTGAATGAATATTGAATTAAACGTTTTCCTATTAAACAAGTTAATTAAATATTTTATCCTTTAAATCAACGTCGAATAAAAGACTTACGTTGAATTTTCGTTATCCAACGTCATTTCAACGCTAACAGAACGTAATCTCCTTGAATCAACATTAAACATTGTCTGACTCGTCGTCGACGTTTAATGTTGAGTCAACACAAACATTGTGTTGACTCGTCGTTATTTCACCGTCATTTTTAAAATGATTTCAACATCCTTTCAACATGATTTCAACATCATTTCAAAACCATATCACCATCATATCACCACCATATCAACATCATTTCACCACCATATCACCACCATATCACCACCATATCAACATCATTTCACCACCATATCACCATCATATCACCACCATATCAACATCATAATATCACCACCATATCACCATCATTTCACCACCATATCACCACCAAATCAACACCATATCAACACTATATCAACACCATATCACCACCATATCAACACCATATCACCACCATTTAAACATCATATCAACATCACTTCAACACCATACCAACACCATATCAAAACCATATCAACACCATATCAACACCATATCACCATCATATCACCATCATATCACCACCATATCAACACCATATCAACACCATATCAACACCATATCAACACCATATCAACACCATATCACCATCATATCACCACCATATCAACACCATATCAACACCATTTAAACATCATATCAACATCACTTCAACACCATATCAAAACCATATCAACACCATATCAAAACCATATCAACACCATATCAACACCACATCAACACCATATCAACACCATATCACCACCATTTAAACATCCTTTCAACACCATTCCAACATCAAATCAACACCATATCAACATCATTTCAACACCATATTATCATCATTTCAACATCATATATACATCACATCAACATGATATCAACATCATCTCAACAACATTTCAACATCATTTCAACGCGATTTTCCAACATAATTTAAACATAATTTCAACACTATTTTGACGTCATTTCTACATCATATCAACACCATATCACCATTATTTCAACACGATATCAACATCACCTGATGCCGTCACCACCATCATATCACCACCATTTCAACACCATATCACCATCATATCACCATGATATCAACATATCAACAGCACCTGATGCCGTTGCAACACCATATCACCATCATTTCAACACGATATCAACATATCAACACTACCTGATGCCGTTGCACTTCTCATGCAGGGGGTAGCACCCAGCGGTAAGACAGGGCCGGTACCCCAGCCTCTCGTCACACTGGGCATCCCGGTACCCGGGCAGGGTGCCCACGTGTCCGTCCGTGAATATCACGAGTCCGCTGAACCCGAAGGTCCGGTTCGCGTCCGGTCCGTAGTTGTGGGCCACGAAGTACAGGCTCTCGTCGGGCTGCAGGCCTTCCCGGTGCCGCCACCGCATCCGGTGGATAGACCTACGGGAAAAAATGTATAATTATTTGGGGTCATAATAGAAATTTCAAGTTTTTTTTAGTTTGTTATAGAAATTTTCCATTTTTTTGCTGCAAAAAATCCGTTTTTGGGTTAATTATAGAAATTTTGAGTTTTTTGTTCATCATAGACGCAAAAATTTGTTTTTTTTTGGTTAATTGTAGAAATTTTTCGTTTCTACGGTTCATTATATAAATTTTGTTTTTTTTTAGTTCGTTATAGAAATTTTCTTGTTTTTTGGGGTTTATTATGGAAATTTTCTAGGTTTTGGGGGTTTATTATGGAAATTTTCTAGTTTTTTGGGGTTAATTAGGGAAATTTCTGTTTTTTGGGGGGGGGGTTTATTATTGAAATTTTCTATTTTTTGGGGGTTCATTATAGAAATTTTGTTTCTAGTTTTTTTTGGGTTAATTATGGAAATTTTAGGTTTTTTTGGGGGTTTATTAATGGAAATTTTCCATTTTTTTGGTTCATTAAAAAAAATTGTTCATTCTTTTTTTGCTTTATTATGAGAAAATGTTTTTTTTCTATTTATTTTTGGGAGGGTTAATTATAGGAATTTCAATTTTTTGATACATTACTGAAATTTTTAGTTTTTTAGTTCGTTATAGAAATTTTCAGATTTTTGGGGGTTAATTATAGAAATTTTCTATTTTTGGGGCTTCATTACAGAAATTTCTCAATTTTTATTAATGTAGAAGCTATACTTATAACCTAAACTCCCCCTAATAAAGTTTTATTGACCTGGTATGGCTGGTGAAGGCGTAGAGCTCATAAATATTATTACTTATAATATATACATATATATATATAATATTAATATATTATNCTCTTATTGACCTGGTATGGTTGGTGAAGGCTCTTATTGACCTGGTATGGTTGGTGAAGGCTCTTATTGACCTGGTATGGTTGGTGAAGGCTCTTATTGACCTGGTATGGTTGGTGAAGGCTCTTATTGACCTGGTATGGTTGGTGAAGGCTCTTATTGACCTGGTATGGTTGGTGAAGGCTTTTATTGACCTGGTATGGTTGGTGAAGGCTCTTATTGACCTGGTATGGTTGGTGAAGGCTCTTATTGACCTGGTATGGTTGGTGAAGGCTTGTATTGACCTGGTATGGTTGGTGAAGGCATAGAGCTCATAAATGAAGTAAATAAAAAAGATAAATTAGAATAAATTTTTCTAGTTTCTAACCCAAAAAACCCAAATTTTTCTAGATTTTGGGGGGTTTATTATGAAAATTTCCTAGTTTTTCAGGTTCATTATAGAAATTTTTCATTTTTTTGCTTTACTAAGTGAAAAACTCCCCCTAATAAATGTTTTATTGACCTGGTATGGTTGGTGAAGGCATATAGTTCAGCCATGACCGAGGCATGGGACAGCTCGTTGCCCGCCTGCATGGCGTACCCGAAGGACCGCGCCCCCGACATCCCGAAGAAGGCCCCGGCCGAGCTGAAGGTCCCCAGCTCCAGGGTGCGCAGGGTGTGGTCCTTGTCCTTGTTCAGGATCAGGGTTACCTGGACACAGGATCAGGGTCAAACTTGATATTTAAATATTTAAAAAGGCATTGAATTGACTTATTTTAGTTATTAAATATTTATATTAAATATATAAATATATGATATTTATATTTATATATTAAATATTTATATAAATATATAAATATAAATACGACAACGTTATTGAATAGTTGTTGAGTTGAATTTTTTTTGTGGTTATTGAATATTTAGAGTCCAAAAGACATTTTATGACTAGGGTATTTTGCTTCTTACGTTGGTTTTATAGAAAGCCTATACAGCCTATGTCCTGTAGCCTTCAAACGTATAACTATAGCCTATTACATAGCACTTGAGCGGTGGTACTTTACTACAACCTTACAACAGATCACCCAAAACAAAAACATTCCCACCACCACCACCACCACCACCATCACCACCACCATCACCACCACCCCACCAC